TCCCAGTTTTCTGAGAAAAAAACCATATTGATTTCCAAAGTGGCTGTACAAGTTTGCACTCCCAGTAGCAGTGGAGGAGTGTTCCTCTTGCTCTATATCCTCTTCAGCATAAGACGTCATTTGTGGTTTTGATCTTAGCTATTCTGACAGGTATAAGATAGAATCTCAAAGTCATTTTGATTTGCCTTCCCTGATGACTAAGGATGTTGAACATTACTTTAAGCGTTTCTCTGCCATTTGAGATTCTTCTGTTGAGAATTCTCTGCTTAGTCGGCACCCTATTTTTAAATTGAATTATTTAATTTTTTTTTTTTGATGTCTGGTTTCTGGAATTCTTTATATATTTTGGAGATCAGCCCTTTGTTGGAGTTCATGAAGATCTTTTTCTATTCCATAGGTGGCTGTTTTGTCCTACTGATCATGTCCTTTGCCTTACAAAAGCTTTCAATTTCATGAGGTCCAATTTATTAATTATTGATCTTAGTGTCTGTTCTACTGGTGCTCTATTCAGAAAATTGTCTAAATGCAATTAAATCACTACCAATCCACAAAAATAGCTTAATGACTGTATGAATTTATTGGGGGGGGGTTAACGCATAATACAGGAAACTCACAATACAGGAAATAGGGATTATAGCAGGATCCTAGAATAGTGAGGCATCGTTCATTGCTCTTCTCCAGAGAGCTCTGCCCTGATCCACACCAGCATCCAAAACCATGAGGTAGCAAAGGGAAGAGAGTACACATATGTTCATGCATCCCTACTCCTCATTAATCTCCTCCAACTCCTCCCTGACTACCTCCACCAGGCCCCTTCCCTACTTCTCATCCTTTTTTTTTAACTGGTTATGTTCAGTGAGTGCTACCCATATGTGCGTGTGGTATGGGGCCATCCACTGAAACATGGGAGGTCTACCAGGGCCTGCATCCCTGAAGAAATCTGACTTATCTTCCCCTCAGCAGCCATCAGTGTCAACATCTCCTTAGCTAAGATTGGGTCTCCATGAACCCCTCCCCATCCATACTGGAATTTTGATGGGCTTGATGTTGCAAAGGTCTTGGGCAGGAATTATAGCTGCTGTGACTTAAGAAATGAAATCACTCCCTGTTTATTGCAGTTTTGCAAGAATTTGGTCTTTTTCCATTGAAAGATGAAAACCTCTGTCTCTTTTCTATTAGCTGAGGGGATTCTCAGCTTCTTGAGGCCACTTTTATGCTCTGAGATATATTAGTCTTCTTTCATCTTCAAAACTAGATGCCAATCAATGGATAAATGGATGTAGTGGTATTTGCTCTGCCCACGACCTTGGGCTGTATGGCCCAAAGAAGGCAGTGCTTCTTACCTTCCTAGGTGATCTCTTAAAATGAGAGGAGAGAGGCCTCATATGTTTCTTTCTTCCTTTTTCCTGGAGTGAACCTGGGTCTTCTGGAATATCAGTCAGTGCTCTTAACCACTAAGCATCTCTCTCCTCTTTAAAAAGAAAGAGAGAGGGGTCATGAGGCCCCTGCTTCCTACTTCCTGGCATGATCAGACTGCCAGGTGGATTCACTTCTAGTCAGAACAGAGGACAACTTAAACTGTTTCCTTGGTTCTATATTTGTGAGTGTATTTCCTCAATTTATATCTTAATAAATCTCTATTATCCATTTAAAAAAGAAAAAGAAAGAAAAGAAATCATTCTGTCATATCCTGATGACAATGCTGAGTTCTACTTGGCTCAACTGTCACTCTCTTAATGGGGCCCCTTTTACCTGCTCCTATTAAAATCCCAAGTTACCACTGGATCCCAGTATTCTCAGTATTCATCTTCTTGCCATCCTTTCCTTCCCAAAGAGCACTTACCACATGCAAATATATTTTCTATAATTTACCTATTTATTATCCATTTCTCTTCATTACAGTATCGACTGCATGAAACACATAATTTTAATATGTAGTTTCATAGAAGTCTTCCAAGTGATTTCTAGAAGTGATAGGGACTTGCTAGATGCTCAACAAACTTACTGAAGAAGGGCTTCCTTGTTAGTTATAAAAACTATTTAGCTATTTAATAAAATATCCAGTTAGTTCTTCTACAAACATTAAACAGGAATCATAGCACTCATCTTTTTTTTCATTTTTTAAATTTTTTTATTAAATTTAATTTTACATATCAGCCACGGATTCCCTTGTTTTCC